TTAAATTAGAACACGTGAATTACTATTATAGTACCACTATTTAAGGAATGTCGTTCTTGATTTCATATTTATTAAAAATTTTTAGTGTGTCAAAAAGGACACTTTATTCATATCATGTGAGATTTGAACTAATTTCGGACCTGTTCTGAACTAGTCCTACTAGTCCCTAAAAAGTCCCGATCCAGACCTGGTTCGAACTAGTTCCCCGTGGATCATTTAACATCTCTATTCAGTATGTAGTTGAATTTTTTTTGATGCTCTGAAAAAGTTTAAGCATCTTGCATTGTGAATTTTTTTATATAAGTATAAAAAATTTTCTTACTTTTATTCTTCAATTAGATTTTCTTTTGCTTCTTCGCCTTGCTATGAATGATAATTACAATCACAAATTCATACTTATTCAACTTCTAGTACACCTAACACAAGTTAATAGACAAGTGCTTTAGATTAAGACAATGATGTTTCAGTTTCTTTATCTCAATTGCCACCACTACCACCTTTAGCTAATAAACCTCTAATAACAATAATAATGCTAAAAGAATAAAACTTTCTGACAAACCTGGATTTGTTTGAATTTTTTGAGCAGCCTGGAATTAAACCTGATGACAAGCCAATAACTAAGGCCAAATATAAAATTGAAGGCTATCAAACTCAATATGTATGGCATGGTTCAACAACAAATATAATAAATCATCTTTGCGATATTTATCATATTACAAAAAAATCGCTTAAACATAGCTTAGTTGAAGAGCTTAAAAAATCCTCTCAACAAACCATAGAAACTACTTTATTAAAACCTTATTCAGTATCAAGACAACAGAAACTTATGCGAAACATCATCAAATTTCTTATTTTCTATACGCTTCCTTTATCCTTAATAGAAATAAAAATTTTTATGCCTTTTTAAATTCATTTTACCCTCGATATAAACTGCTATGTGTAAATATAATTAAAAATGAAATTATAAAAGGAACAAATCATACAACAACGTATGCTTATACAAGCAAATACAGTATTACTCACATTTGACTTATGGACTTCTCGGGTGCATGATTCTTATCTAGGTCTAACCTGCCACTGGATTTTAGATAAATTTCGCATTTATGATCTTACATTAGGTGTAATCAAAATGGGTGCATATAAAACTGCTGATGATATTGTTGATTTTATTGAACCTATATTTGAAAAATTTGGTTTAGAAAGAAGCAAAATATTGAGTATAATTACAAATAACGGTGCTAATATCAAATTAGCTATTACACAATTATTAGCAAGACTTTCAGTATCAGATTCAATTGCTAATATTTTTTGTGCTGCGCATATGTTGCAGTTAAGTATTGAAGCAGGTTTGGAGGTTGCATGCAACCTGCTTACAAAATGTAAAGCTTTGATTTCACTTTTAAGTGGAGAAAAAAAAGAAAGCAATTAAGAGAAGCTCAAATTAGAGTAGATATATTAAAAGCCAATAAATATAGTTGATGTAATAACTGACATTGCAACATGATGAAACTCCACCTACATGGCTTTTGAAAGACTTGCTAACTTTGAACATCTAATTAAGTGGCTAACTAATGATCTTGAAAATTCGGATAATAATGATTATCATCGTGATGGTACTAATATTCGTGATAAGCTATTATTAAATAAAAAATTTAAAGTTGTATAAGCTCTTGTTAAACTTTTATATCCATTTGATAAAGCTAATGAAATTCTTTTTGGATCAAATTATACTATATTAAGTATAATGGTTCCAACAATTGAAGAATTAGTTTGTTGACTAATTAATACAAATGCTGATTTCAATCTTGTAAATGAGGTAAAAGAAGAAATATTATCTAACCTAACAAGCCAATAGTCCCTGCCACATGATTATAGAATGTATGCATCTTTACTTGATCCTTGATTTAAGAACCTAAATTTCTGCTCAAATATAAGTATATTCTATTCTATATATTTGTAAATTAATACAGTAGATATTTGCATTATTTCACGAATATATAGTTAAACCTTTTTAAATAAAATTTCTTAATTATATTGTATTTAAAAAAGTTTGATTAAATTATAATTTTAATCTTTTAAAAATTCATTGTTCTTATACTAGATGTTAAAACAAAGAACAATTGAAGGGTTACGAAATCAGTTTAATGAATTAAGCAGAAGTTCAAGTTAAGTAGAAAATGACACAAGTTCACCTAGAGAAGAGGCTAAAAAAAATAAAAATTCAGCAATGAAAAGCTTTTTCTCCTCAGTCTGGAAGCAACGTGATGAAAATGAAGAACTAACAGAAATTGATAAATATCTTACACTTCTTGAAATTGAACCAACGACTCGTTAGCTTGGTGGAAGCAGAGAAGATCAAACTTCCCAATTCTTTGCATACTTGCAAAAAAATACCTTGCAATTTTAGCTTCTTCTGTCCCTTCAGAGTACTTGTTCTCAGATGCTGGCAACCACATACTGTAACTCCCAAACGAAACTGATTAGACCCCTACCTCTTGCATCAATTATTATTTTTAAAATGAAATATTGCTTATGTAGATATTTTTCCCTCCAATTAAATAGATAGTTTTTTGATTTTTTTTTACATTTATTTATATGTAAGTTCACAATGATTTAGAGTGTTGAAATAAATTATATTTTATTATTCTTACCTTGTCTCTATTCAATCATTTCATCAACGAAGTGAATCAATTTGTATGTTGCAATAGTATCTTCTTTTAATTACACATACAAGATCTAATTCGCGAAGCTTAATTTCAGTTAGGTACGACTTTATTATCCAGAGTAGCAACTCTAAACAGGTAGAACTTCAGGCATGGCATATTGCTTAATCCCACAAGTATTGTAAATAGTAAAAAATTCTAACGCTAAAGAATTTGACTGAGAGTTATCGTAAGAATACTTAATACTGTATATAATTAAATACCTGACTGATAACACATGACTAGTATCGTGAAACATTAAATTAATCAATTTCAAGCATCTAAATCAATTGATCAGATAATAACCGTGATGACGCTTAAGCATCACAATTGATGACGATATTTATAGA